CCTGTAATCCTAGCATTTTGGGAGGCTGAGGTGGACAGATCACAAGGTCAGGAGTTCGAGACCAGCCTGGCCAACATGGTGAAACCCCATCTCTACTAAAAATACAAATTAGCCTGGCATGGTGGCGGGCGCCTGTAATCCCAACTACTTGGGAGGCTGCGGAAGGAGAATCGCTTGAACCCAGGTGGCAGAGGTTGCAGTGAATGGAGATCATGCCATTGCACTCTGGCCTGGGCAACACAGCAAGACCCCATCTCAAAACAAAATAAAATAAAATAAAAAATAAGGAAAAGCTGTTGAATTTTGTCAAATGCTTTTTCCACATACAATGGGATGGTCTAAGTCTTTTTAAATCTAAAAAATAAAAGTAATCATGTATGCAGAACCTCCTTCCCCAGTATCATTCCCTCCTCCCCTAGCTGCAGACTGCTGAGGCTGAACTGGAAGAATCGAACAGGCACTTCCCAGGAGGATTTCCTGGACCTTTTTTAAGAAGGGCCACTCTAAGAGACTCTGAACTCCATCCCTGTTCAAACATTTTTCCCTGTTCTGAGGTCTCCAAAGTTTCAGCTCATCACAGCACCAATGCCCATTGCAAAGAACACATGATTTATTCAAGACAACTCGTCATCAACAGCACTGACTCAAGGAACAAAACAGATAAAAAACTAAAGCAAACGTTCTGACCCTCTGGAGTGAGACCCGCTGAATTCATACAGCTCAATCTGTAAGTGTCCAAGATCCAGGGGGCAGGTTCTCAAGCAGGAAGCCTCAGGCACTCTGGTTCTGTGGGAACCTCCCTTGGGCATCTGCTTGAGAATCTGGCGAAGGGTCACTGTCAGGGCAGGTCCTTTCTGCAGGCGGTATCCTGCCGGGAGCTCAGCCTAACCAAGGCCTGGTCCCTGTGCTCTTGACCTTCATCTCAAGGCCAAGGAGAGGGCACTTGACCCAACTCTGCCAGCGAAGCAAATCAGACGGTGATTCAAGTAGTGTGGTCCCAGGAGCAAGGCGGGCGCAGACAAGAGCGAGTGCATTAGGAGTCCTGGGCAGTGAAGTAGTGTGGCCCCAGGAGCAAGGCGGGCGCAGACAGGAGCGAGTGCACTAGGAGTCCTGGGCAGTGTCTGCTGGGTCGCAGGCAGTGACCCAAGGTTGTGAAGGGGTTGGAGGAGGGGCTGAACCACCAGCTGACAAGTACTGGAGAGAGGGTGGCCCAGGCCGGCAGGAAGCATCATGTCTCTGCCTCATCCTGGAGGTCCTGGAGTCAGCCCAGTTCTCTTCCCACCTTTACACTCAATTCCAGCACAGAACTCAGAGCCCACCCAGCCAGGACCTGCTGGAAAATCAGGCAGGTCCTAGAAGCATGGGGAGAAGAGGCTGACTGTGATCTTGGAAAATGAAGAGGATCTTGTCTCCAACTCCTTTCTACCTTCCTACACCCACGCCTCATCCCCAGAGCACTCGCCAATGTGCAATACATAGCCAGGAGTCTGAACAAATAGTCAAAGTCTCCCAAATACTGCGCAGGTGCAGAAATCCAGGTGACATCCAAGGAAAAGCCTGGTAGAAGAGCCCCCTGGGGAAGCCGTTTCTGGCCCACAGCCAGGCTTGGGAGGGCAGCGAGAAGTCCTGCCCACCAGACTCGGAAGGCTTTGGGGGCAGGAGGGCTGCTGGGGCCTGACTCCTGCCAGCCAGTCTGGAGGACAAGGGTACTCACTATGGCACCTGGCTTCCGGACGCAAACCTTGTACAAGGAGGGAGGTGACTTGGTGAGAACTGGGAGCGGCCAGCTGCCCCTGTTCAGGGTATACCTGCCCCAGCCCTGGGAACAGCTCAGGCAGGGGTCAGAGAAGGCCCTGCACCTCCCTCAGTCCGCAGAGGGTGGAGGGATACACAGAGGCACAGACACAGCCCTCCTGGTACTGGCAGGACCCAGGGCCTTTAAGCACAGCTACCCCCGGCCCCAGAGAAGCTTCCTTAGGCCCCACTTGTCCTTTGTGGGACTCACCTACCCTGGGTTGGGACCCGGAAGCCGAGGAAATGACAACTCTTCTGAAGCAACAGGTTCCAACCCTGGGCTCAGAATCAAGGTCCTTTTCTTTTGGGACAGGAGGGACTCTGGGAGAACCTCCAGAAAAACCAGCTCCCCCTCTTCCTTCTCCCTCCCCGGGCAGAGCGCAGGGGCAGGAAGCTCAAAGTTTCGTCCTTACTCAGCAGCATTTGGTTTCCAAGATTTCTGTATAGGGAACGGGTTCAGAACCCTCTAAGTGAGGCACGGAGGGCTCCCTCGCAGTCGGGGGGACCCAGGAGCCTGGGGCTGGGGGATGGGAACAGGAGGCAAAGGCCAAGCTTGACCTCCAGGGGCCTTGCTGAGCCAGTCTTCTCATCTGTCTCCCAGGTTCAGGGGAGCAGAGGGAAGCAGGGAGAGGAGGCGGCTCAGGATAAGGCACCCCAACAGAGAAGGGCAGGGAGAGTAATGGACAGAGGAAACATGGAGCAAGACATAGTTCCACTCTGGGAAGGAGGCGGAAGGAGACAGGCAGAGAGGTAGAGACAGAGAAGGAGGGGCTGGGAGACCTGGAGGCCTGAGAGACCCTCACCCCCTCACACACACACACGCGGGGAGGAGACGCCTGGGGACTTGGGCCCACGTCCACACCAACCGACTACAGACAGACATCTGTGGGTGAGAGAGATGGCAAGCCTCTGCTTTCAGTGTTGCCTTCCCTGTGGAGCAGCCGAAGTACCCCACTCAGAAGCGGTTTCTGGCCCATTGGCCAAGCACCTCCCCTGACCAGAGCCCAGGAAAAGACCAGAAGCAGGAACCGAGGCTGGGGCAGCAGAGCCGAGGCAGGGACGGGCCGCTGGGAGCCTCCCAGTGCCGGAAATGGCCCTGGCCCGGGAAGGACAACTTCCCGAGCTTCAGCCCTGCTCAGTATCCTGGGCAAAGAGGGCAGGGTGCAGGGCAGGCGGGGAGCTGGGCGTGGTGGCAGAAGAAGGAGCACAGCACAGTGTGTCCCCAGCGGGCACCACCTGGGACTCGGGCCAACCCTGCGGTTTCCCCTCAGGCTGGGTTCCTACAGGTTTCTGTGAGTCCCGTGAGCCAGGGCACAGGGTCGGGTGGCTTCTCTCCCGAACATGAGCCTCTTGCCGCCGGGTTACTTTGAGTCTTGGAGCTCCTTGGCTTTCTGCAGGATCTGGCAGACATCTGTGATGGGGTAGTCCTGGGCACAGGAAAGGCCAACAGTTGCCTCTGAAGCTACCTCACCCCTGCCACACCGACACCCTCCCTGCTGGGACCCGTTGCCATGCTGGATCCTGGGCCTCAGGGGCAGGAGCATGGAATACCAGGCATCCCACACTCCCCAATCCCCAGAGCCCTGCATGCAGCTGACGCTACACCATGCAGCACCAACTCAACCAATCCACACACAACCACTCCCAGGCTCTCGCGGCCCTTTCCTCAGGACCAGACCGTGCTGCCTCAGCTCTCCCACTACTGCCACTGAACTCGAGCTCCCTCATGTGGAGTCAGTGGCACTGGGCCAGTGTCTGAGCATCAGCTCGAAGTCCCAACAGTGCTGTGAGTGGCTACTGTGATTCTGCTCATTTTCCAGATCTAGTCCATGAAGTTATGGAAAACCAACTCTAGGCTGGGCACAGTGGCTCACGCTTGTAATCCCAGCACTTTGGGAGGCCGAGGCGGGTGGATCACCTGAGGTTGGGTGTTTGAGGCCAGCCTGACCAATGTGGAGAAACCCCATCACTACTAAAAAGTACAAAAAAAACTAGGCGGGCTTGGTGACGCATGCCTGTAATCCCAGCTACTCAGGAGACTGAGGCAGGAGAATCGCTTGAACCCAGGAGGTGGAGGTTGCAGTAAGCTGAGATCGCGCCACTCCAGCCTAGACAACAGAGCGAGACTACGTCTCAAAAAAAAACCAACAACAACAAACCAAACCCACACTAAGGCCAGGTGCTGGTGAAGAAGCTGAGACCCAGAGATGCTGTAACTTGGCTTGGGTCACATGATGAGCACAGCAGAGCAAAACTGTGGACCTAAAGCTGTAGGCCCTTGAGCCCATCTTCTTTTTTTTTGGAGACAGAGTCTTGCTCTGTCACCCAGGCTGCAGTGCAGTGGCGTGATCTCGGCTCATTGCAACCTCCACCTCTCGGGTTAAAGCGATTCTCCTACCTCAGCCTCCCAAGTAGCTGGAAATTACAGGCGCCCGCCACCACGCCCAGCTAATTTTTGTATTTTTAGTAGAGAGACGGGGTTTCGCCATGTTGGCCAGGCTGGTCTCGAACTCCTGACCTCAGGTGATCCACCCACCCCAGTCTCCCAAAGTGCTGGGATTATAGGCATGAGCCACCACGCCCGGTGAGCCCATGTTCTTAATCTCTACACCCCAACCTCCTTCCCCTGGCCTGAGCATGGCCACCAGCAAGCGCAGCCACATTCTGGGCACCTGCGGTGTCCCAGGTGTGAACACCTATGTAGAATACACAGTTTGAAGGCCAGGTCACTTGCTCAAGGCCACCCAACATTCCAGGTCAATGGCAGAACCAGGATTCAAACCCAGATCCAAACCAGATCTCCCTCAGGGGTCTGGACTCTAATCCCTGCTACGCTCCACTGCCCCTGCCCAGTCTGTCGAAGTGGCTGGCGTGGGCGGGTGCCTGGCAAGTGCCGGCCTCATGGCAGTGGCTGGGCCTGCCCCCAACTCCCATTACCTGCAGCAGCCGCATGTTCACAGTGAAGTCCCCTTCCAGCAACTGCTCCCGGATCAGCCTATGAAAAGCAGCAGCAAAAGCGCTGGGACCTGGGATGCTCCCAACACAGGCCCTGCCCGCTACTCCCTCCCCACCCACCTTGAGTTTGGTTTGGGGCCGTCCCAAGGACTCCAGAAGCCCACTCCAGCCATGAAAGAGCAGCCCTGCCCACGCTTCGGGGCAGAGGGTCCTCCCGTCTGGCTTCTCCAAGGACTGCCCTGGTGAGCTGATGCCAGTTCATGCCCGCACTCACATAAGCATGGCGCAGCAGACGAGGAGGAGGAAGTCAAAGCGGTTGTCATCGGCGAAGAGGGAGTCCCAGATGCGGATGACATCAGGCAGCAAGAACTCCTGGGACAGCAGCAGTGTCAGCCAGCGGAAGGCGAAGAACTGGGGCTTGATGTTCTGCTCTTGCTGGGGAGACAGCGTGGGGGGTGGGGAGCGGGACTCCATGTTGGCTGCTGGCCATGGAGCACCACGCAGTGGGTCAGAAATAAATTCAGAACAGCAGGGCCCAGCATGCCAGGTGTGAGCACCAGGGCTGGCACCAGGCTGCCAGATAGCCTTGCTTGGAAAAGGGGCAGAGCCTGTTTGCTGCCAGCCAACATCCTCAGATCTTCCTATTTTTTTAAGAGAAGCTGGAAACCCAAACCTTTATGTAATAAGCTCTCCAGATTTATAAATGATGGCTCAAACTCTTCACACACTTTGCAGATGATAGCCTTGGGTTTGTGGATGTGCTGAGTGACCATCACAGGGCACTTACTATAAGCCTGGGCTATGCTCAGCATATTAACTATGTCCTCTCACTCATTTGATCCACAGAACAATTCCACAGGCAATTATTCCCACTACAGACGAGCCTTCTGGTCAGCCACAGTGAATATTAACTGAAAAAGCGTGCTACAAAACAGCAAAAGCATACTTCCTTTTTTTTTTTTTTTCCCCAGAGATAAGGTCTCGCTACATTACCTAGGATGAAGTGCAGCAGCACAATCAAGGCTCATTGTAGCCTTGACCTTGAGAGCTCCTCCCTCGGCCTCCTGAGTAGCTGAAACTACAGGCCTGTGCCACCATGCCTGGCTAATTAGTTTTTAAATTTTTTGTAGAGACAAAGCTTCACTATGTTGCTCAGGATGGTCTCAGCCTCTGGGGTCAAGCCATCCTCCTGCCTCAGTCTCCCAAAGTGCTAGGATTACAACTGTGAGCCATCACACTCAACCCATATTTGGTTAAAAAGAGATGATTATTCCTGGCCAGCCAGGCACAGTGGCTCACACCTGTAATACCAGCATTTTGGGAGACCAAGGTAGGCAGATCACTTGAGGTCAGGAGTTCGAGACCAGCCTGGCCAACATGGTGAAATCCCATCTCTACTAAAAATACAAAAACGAGCCGGGCATGGTAATGCATGTCTGTAAT